AAAAGGATGGTACCTTGGTCCTGCCCACAATCACCCCCGTGACTGCGTTCGCATGCTAACCCAAGCTGGAACCGTCATCACGACCCGCAATTTCACCTGGCGCCACGTGCCCGCTGCATCGCCCGCTCCCCCGCAGCTGCTACCTCTCGCAGATGACGAGAAGGGCGGGGAGGGCGAGAGCAGAGCGGATGCATCACGCCAAGGTTGGGGGGGGGAGAGAGACTCAGAGAGTGAGTCCGACCTCGACGTGATGAAGGCTCGTGGGCCAGGGCAAGCGACGCCGGTTGTGCGCGAGGAGGCGCCGACGACACGGGATTCCGGGGGACGGAGGCAGCGTTCCCCCGTCGCCCCCTTCGGGAAGGGGCGACTTCGGCGGAGGCAGTGACAGCCCCACCGACAGCAGCAGCAGCAGCAGCAGCAGCAGCAGCAGCAGCAGCAGCCCGAGCAGCAGCAGCAGTGACGCCGGCGGTGCCGGCGGCCCGGGCGGCGAAGAGTCCGGCGACCCAGGTGGGGACGGCGGTAGCGATGGTGATCCCGGCGACTCCGAGAACCTCGAGGAGTTGAAGTATGATCCAGCCGACGACCGCTACCCCCGCGGGCTAGAAGGGAAGAAACTCCTCTGGGGCGCCTCGAACGCTGGCCCGCTGCGCCATGGGCTTGAGAGTGGCCGCACGCGGAAGCAGACCCGGGAGATGCAAGGTGCCGGGGAGATGCCGGGGCCCGGAGAAACACCGGACCTGGAAGAGGCATTGCTGGCGACCATCCTTGAAACTGGCGGGACGGGGATTGTTGAGGACTACATCTGCAACTCGCTTGTGAAGGAGCAGTGGGACGAGGAGCAGACACTCCGTATGGAGGAGATGTACAGGCGCGAGATGCAGGAGGTGTTGGGCCCGGAACAGCAGGCGTTCGGGGCCGAGGTCGACGCCAGCGGGTCTTCGCAACCACTCCCAGACCCACAGCTAAGGATGACCTCGCCAATCGGGCAGAAGCCGAGTGATGTGGAAGCAGTACCGATGACGTACAAGGATGTGCTGTGTTCCAAGTACAAGGTTTTCTGGGAGGCGGCCATGAAGAGATATATGGCCACGACAAGACTGGAACCTTTACCAAGGTCAAGGAGCTGCCCGAGGGGCGGAAGACCATAGGTTCAAGGTGGGTGTTCTCTTGGAAGACGAATGAGAAGGGCCTGATGGTCGACTTCAAGGCCCGTATGGTTGCGCGGGGTTTCTCCCAAATCCCCGGCATCGACTTCCACCACTCATCCTCAGCGTGCCCGTCTGCAGCGTCTATCAAGACGGTGATTGCCGTAGCCACTGAAAAGGGCAGGAAACTCGCTCACTGGGATGTGAAGCAAGGTACATCCACGCTATGCTAAAAGAAGTAATATACCTCAGGTTCCCGGAAGGCTGTGGTAGCATGTCCGGCAAAGGTGGTCAAGGTTGAGCGTGCCCTGTTTGGCCTAAAGCAGAGTGGCCGTGAGTGGGGGTTTGAAGCTGCCGATGCCCTCATCGAGAATGGATACGAGCAGTGCAGGGTTGACCCGTGTGTCTTCCGGAAGGTGGTGGATGGAGAGGTCGTAGGTCTCATCGTGATCTACGTTGAAGACATCTTAGTGGCGGCAGACGAGGGAGAGCGAGAGAAGTTGTTCGCTTCCCTCAACAAGAAGTTTCCGGTGAAAGATCTGGGGGATTTTGTCGATGCCAGCTACGCTGACAACGAAGTAGACAGGCGTTCTACGACCTGGCTAGCTGTGACCGTAGGTGGTACCGTAGTGTGTGCATCCACGAAGACGCAGCCAGTGACGGCTCAGTCGACCTCGGAGGCAGAGTATTCGGCAGCCGGGGAGGGCGTGAAGGAGGCGTTGTTTGTGCGTGGCGTTCTGTCGTTCATAGCGCCCGAGACGAGTGGGGCGAAGATCAAGGTCCTTGAGGACAACAAGGGGGCTCTCGCCTTAATCGAGAACCCGTTCAGCTCAGCGAGGAGCAAGCACATCGACGTGCGGTTCCATTTCATTCGCGAGCTATTCAAGTCGGGCAATATCTCTGCAGAGTATGTTCCGACTGGAGAGCAGCACGCCGACATGCTGACCAAGGTCCTTGGCAGAGAGAAGTTAGAGTACCACCGGAAGGCTCTGATGAACCTACCGATGTAGTGTTCTCTTGTTCTGTTTGGTTTGTGTGGTGGTTTTAGCACTTGGCATATATGACCATGGTACGTCACGCAGGAAGCGTTGTGCCGGCGCGTCACCCGCGGCTGGAGCCTAGAAACGCCGAGAGCGTTGCTTCGGGTGTGTAATCAGCGTGACCGTTTCAATCTGTCCTGCCTTGGTCTTGTCTTGGAAGTGCGGCCGTTGGAATCCTCCGTGATCGCGACGGTTTTCTATTTTTAGGGTGTTAGACGAGGGTTTTTGATCCGGTTGGCCGGGTTTTTCCCTCGAGCCTGTTGTTGTTTTGACTCCCTTTGGTAGATCAGGGGTATGCATGCCCCACGTTAGGTTTGCCATTCGCGTGCAAACCGGGGAGGGTGTTCGTGTGTTTGGACACAGACTGGTTAGGTCTACCGGCAACAACAGAGGGCACGCAGATGGGGCATATGTACACCTTGAAATGGTTGCATGTGCGGGGACCCCTCGAACTCCAAAGAGGGCTTCACTTCTCCCTACTGCCCTTGCATGCACGGATCTTGACGAATACCTCAGCATCCCGAGCCTTAGTCCCCTTATTTCCGTCGCTTTGAATCACACATCAAACTGTCCTTTTAAACGGATCGAAGGCAAGGGCGCAATCCCTCAACGAAGTGTTCACGGTTGCACGGGCAATCTCTGTGGCCGTGCCGGCGGGTCCAAAGAGACCAGTTGCCGCATTATCCTTAAACAAACCCCGCTCTCGCAACATCAACGAGCGCCCCCGAAGAGGCCATGACAGCGTGTTTGTTTGGGGTACATGGTTACAAGATCCGATCTGCAGGGAATACCGTTGGTTGCATAAGATATCACACTTTCATTAGATAGCACACCCCCTCAGAAAACGTACACATTAACACACCCCTGTGCTATTTTTTTCAATCCCGAAAAAGCGCCATGTTTTATCACACGGTGACATAAGGTACCACGCCCCCTGAAGTTGGGCTGCATATTATCGACGGAGCCCCCGCTTATCACGCGGTGTGACAACGTGAGGGCATGAGATCACAAGCAACAACCTACTCGCAAAGGCCGTGGAGGCCAACAATGCCGGTTCAGTTAGCAACCCTGCTGAAAGCCCCGCGGCTCAGACTGCCGTAGGTACGACTCCAGCGGCGGCCCCACGCTCCATAGCGTCCTTCTTTCAACCCGCCCAGGGGGAACGTGGGGCTGTTTGCGGCCTAGGCCGCTTTCTTATCGGGTGAGACTGTTTTGTTGATGTATTAGCTTCACGGGAGGTAGACGACCGTCCTTCACACGGACGAAAGAGGGAGTGCTCAAAGAGTGGCTCCCACAGCAAGGCCCCGTGAATTATCGCGGTGCCTCGTACCAAACGGCAATCTTACCAGTCTACGTGACACCAAATCATCCAGCACATGTATCCAACACCAACGTTCGCAGACCCACGAACATCCTCCCTGGTTCTTCATGCAAGTGACTAACCATCAATGGGGCAAGAACTCCCCTGGATACATTGTTGGTATGTCCGTACTTGGGAGGAGAAGACACGCTTTAACTCTCTCTGATTAGGCACCCGCGGGAGCGAGGAAAGGAAGGGAAGAAGTGGCCCTCCCGAACTCGGGAAGGGGGCCCACACATAGTAGCCTTTTTTAGGCATACGCATGCTCCTGTCTACGTACCCCCCCCGTGCTGCTAGCAGATCTACCATGCTCGTATCCAGACACACGAACACCCTCCCCGGTTCGTCAAGCTATTGACAAACCATCAGTGGGGCATGGATACTCCAGATCTACTTAAG